GGGTTATACACTCACAAACGCTAGGTTATATATAGTTGGTGTTGTTATACACTCACCCACGCTAGGCTACATATAGTTGGTGTTGTTATACACTCCCAAACGCTAGGCTATAAATAGATGGCGTTGTTATACACTCACAAACGCTACGCTATAAATATATGGTGTTGTTATCCACTCACAACCGCTAGGCTATATATAGTTGGTGGGGTTATACACTCACAAACGCTAGGCTACATATAGTTGGTGTTGTTATACACACAAACTCTAGGCTATATATAGTTGGTGGTGTTATACACTAACAAACGCTAGACTATATATAGTTGGTGTTATTATTCACTCACAAACGCTTGGCTATATATAGTTGGTTTTGTTATACACTCACAAACGCTACGCTATAAATATATGGTGTTGTTATCCACTCACAACCGCTAGGCTATATATAGTTGGTGGGGTTATACACTCACAAACGCTAGGCTGTATATAGTTGGTATTGTTATACACACAAACGCTAGGCTATATATAGTTGGCGTTGTTATACACTCACCAACGCTGGGCTACATATAGTTGGTGTTGTTATACACAAGCGCTAGGCTATATATAGTTGGTGCTGTTATACACTCACAAACGCTAGCCTATAAATAGATGGTGTTGTTATACACTCACCAACGCTGGGCTACATATAGTTGGTGTTGTTATACACAAGCGCTAGGCTATATATAGTTGGTGCTGTTATACACTCACAAACGCTAGCCTATAAATAGATGGTGTTGTTATACACTCACACACGCTAGGCTATATATAGTTGGTGGTGTTATAAACTCACAAACGCTTTGCTATATATAGTTGGTGTTGTTATGAACTCACAAACGCTAGGCTATATAGTTGGTGTTGTTATACACAAACGCTAGGCTATATATAGTTGGCGTTGTTATACACTCACCAACGCTGGGCTACATATAGGTGGTGTTGTTATACACACACACACGCTAGGCTATATATAGGTGGTGGTGTTATACACTCACAAACGCTAGGGTATATATAGTTGGTGTTGTTATACCCTCACAAACGCTAGGCTATAAATAGATGGTGGTGTTATACACTCACAAACGCTAGACTATATATAGTTGGTGTTATTATTCACTCACAAACGCTTGGCTATATATAGTTGGTGTTGTTATACACTCACAAACGCTAGGCTACATATAGTTGGTGTTGTTATATATTCCGCACAACATAGTAATGGCGGACTATTTCCTTCTATTTTATGAATACAATGGTAGAGGTAAATGGTCAAATACGGGATTAAATACGTATCGAGCACCGATTACCAACAAAGCGTTGTATCTTAACAGATCAGGGATGGACAACTAAACGCTACCCTTTTCCGGCTAAAACAAGCTTAGCAACGGCAGTATTATCATCATGGCGACTTCTAAATCGCGTGAGCTGCAATTTCGTGATTTCGGATAAACTCGGCTAAATATAATACTATACAGTGTGAAAATTTCATATATTAGAAAATGGTCCGACAATGGCCCTTACGCGTGCTACACTGATATTTAAGCGATAAAACGGTACCACGATCTGATAGTATTCACAGTGGTTTTAATTTCCTTCCACCTGTAGATGTTCGCTTGATATATATTTCATTTATTAATCACCTTTTGTGTAACACGGGACTAAAGCTAGCCTTAACGCACTATACAAACTGTATCGATAGATCCGGCAGGCCCTAATTGTCAGGGTACCGGATATATGCCACAAGGCGTTAAAATTGAAACAAATCAGATTTAATTTCATGAAGAAAATGTTATCAGTGTGGCATGCTTACTTGCAATCAGTGGACAGATCACAAGGAGGACGTGCCAAAACCGTTTATTGTGTCTGCTTGTTCTTTACTATGGGTAGGAGGAAGTATCTCAGGAGCTCAATGATACCCAATCCTCTTACTGAAAATGATACAGGTCAAACGAATAAAACTGAACTCTTCTTTATAATAAAAACATTACACATTAGTTCTGAAATAATCAATTACGAAACATTTTTAACCATACAAACAGGTGCGCGCTGTTTAGAAGGAACAAGCCGGATGTTTTAATTGGTCAACCTCGTGATACATTAAATAAAACTTTCCCATTAATTCGGTAACACAGTACATCTCTAGTTCTGTTTTACGGATATGTTTATCTTTACTTTCACCTCCGTCACGACCGTCTCCCCAAGTCATGGTACAACGCTATCAACACAGCAATAACGCACGTCCAGTCTATATACCATAATAACCTTAAATAGACAAAGACGGTGTCGGGATCAATGTACAATAAAAAGACAAATGTTAGGATAAATGGACAGCATGAAACTGTTAGATAAGTAAAAGATGCAAAGAAAATCAGTACACACCAGCTATCCAGATACAATGAACAGAAACTGTTGTTGTTTGAAGAAAGGTACACAAGACATAAAAACACCGTCTTTCTAGTACAAAACAGTTATTTTGAAATTCTGTTATATCAATTTTAAAGTATGCTAAAATAAATGGTTAAAACAATGCTTGGATAAATCGACAATACCAAAAATATGTTTGTATACGTGTATAATACCAAAGGTATGCTAATTTAAATGACAAATACCAAAACAAATCGACTTACTAAAGTAAAGTAACCGTACACCGGACCTGACAGTACCAAGTGATACAAGCGATTAAACGATGGAAATAATTTCACTACAAATAATTCATGGAAACCTTTTTGAAAGTATTTGTATGTTTAGACATTATTTTTCGGCAAGCCGGAACTATTTCTTTCTCGATACTTTCCTACGACACATAAACATTCTGTAACTAGAGATAATCACCCTTATGGCTTGTAATTGTAAATCTTAGCTAACGTTGCTTACTCCATGAGGAGCAGAAGCCATACTATTGATTGGGTGTGTCGGAGGCAATGGTGGTGAAACCATGGGGCTGAGCATGTTGCCTAATGCTTTAAATGGTAGCGGAAGTGGTCCGTGTATCAAGTATTTCTGTCATGCCTGTGTCAATAGTTAGCTGTAATAGTGTAACGGTGTTGTCACCAGGTCAAGTGCCATCTGATTAACTCATTCCTTGTTTCTTTGTTTGTAGAATATCCTATTGCGGCGACAAGTCATTCAAACAAATGTACACGATTCTATATAACCACCGGGCATATTATCTTAATGAAATGTCGAGCTTCCCAAACATGCTGTTTTTTTCTAAAAATGCCAATAATGTCTGATGTATGACAGTGCTATTTTTTCAACCTTGTCGTGAGAATTGCAAACAAGACGATTGAAACTAATCAAGCCTTTTTTCAGAACACAATTTTTTTCGAGTTTTCTCTGAAACAAAGGATTTCATAGACGATTTTCTTTTTTAAAAAAGCCCAGGAGATGTCGAATTACATTCTAGCACTCGGGTTTTTTTCCCTTAAAAACAAACCCAACTCGCAGACTTTTTCTCCGTGTCATCATGACGTCTGCAGAAGTAATACCCTCATCACGCGATCCTTTGGAAACCTCCAAACCAATAGGAGTTAATTGGTGATTTTAGAAGTTCGGGTATTGGGTGTCGCCCTAATTGTCGACTCTCTGACACTAATGATGAGCCGTTCTGATGAAGAGCGACGATATCGGATTCCTGCTAGGTACAGATTAACGAAATGCCTCTCTTGGTGGCGGTTGTGACTCGTCATTCAAGCGACATCAAGAAACGCAACAAATCTCTCTGAGATTTCCTAGAAAAATGACCTCTGGATCGCTGGTTCTAAAGTGCACTTGTCATCATTTATTTCCAGCATACACATGCTGAACACAACTACCGGTACTTTCTCACGCAGATTATCCCATTTAAATTTAAAAATCCGCCGTAATGTTTTACATCTCCCAAAACGGCAGAACCGGTACTTCTCCTAACTACGATTTTAATGATTATTATTTGGTTTACACAAGATTTCTCAGAAATCAAAATGGTTGATCATGCCACAGGTATATTGAAATAACGCGAGGGCCACACCTACAGACAAATCACACAAGGGCCACCCCTACAGACAAATCACACAAGGGCCCCACCTACAGACAAATCACACAAGGGTCACACCTACAGACAAATCACACAAGCGCCACACCTACAGACAAATCACACAACGGCCACACCTACAGACAACTCACACAAGGCCCACACCTACAGACAAATCACACAACGGCCACACCTACAGACAACTCACACAAGGCCCACACCTACAGACAAATCACACAAGTGCCACACCTACAGACAAATCACACAACGGCCACACCTACAGACAACTCACACAAGGCCCACACCTACAGACAAATCACACAACGGCCACACCTACAGACAACTCACACAAGGCCCACACCTACAGACAAATCACACAACGGCCACACCTACAGACAACTCACACAAGGCCCACACCTACAGACAAATCACACAACGGCCACACCTACAGACAAATCACACGAGGGCCACGCCTACAGACAAATCACACAAGTGCCACACCTACAGACAAATCACACAATGGCCACACCTACAGTCAAATCACGCAAGGGCCACACCTACATACAAATCGCACAAGGGCCACACCTACAGACAAATCCCACAAGGGCCACACCTACAGACAAATAACGCAAGGGCCACACCTACAGACAAATCCCACAAGGGCCACACCTACAGACAAATTACGCGAGGGCCACACCTACAGACAAATAACGCGACGGCCACAACTACAGACAAATCACACAAGGGCCACCCCTACAGACAAATCACACAAGGGCCCCACCTACAGACAAATCACACAAGGGTCACACCTACAGACAAATCACACAAGAGCCACACCTACAGACAAATCACACACGGGCCACACCTACAGACAAATCACAGAAGGGCCACACCTACAGACAAATCACACAAGGGCCACACCTACATAGGGATTGAACGGCGGTTTTTTTAAAATTCTCATACCGATATGAACCCAAATCGGTACATCCATATTGCATGAAGCCCGCTAGGGTTTAATGTTTAATATGGATGTAACCAATTGCGTTCATACCGGTATGAAAATGAAAAAAACGCCGTTCAATCCATATATTTCCATTTTTTTCTATAGAACAATTACTTAATTAGACCTATTTAAATAAAATTGGCGCCAACAATTTACCGTTGTCATCTGGGCATTCTCCATGTTATCCGAAGCGAAGCGACAATTCTTCCATTGAACAAGGTTAACATATGAAGTCATAAGTAAACCACGTGTGACGTCACGAGAGTTTTTGCTTTTTTGCTTTCATACTCAAATGAAATGCATTTCTGCTGGTAAGTGGGTTGCAACACAAATGTAAATAAAGACAATTGACACGAGGGTCAAAGCTACAGACAAATGACAAGAGGGCCACAGCTTCACAGATGTGACCCTATGGTCACAGCTACACAGAACTACACGTGGACAAAAGATACAAAGAATTAACAAGAAGGCGACATTTATTGACAATTTCCACGAGGGCCACAGTTGCAGAGAACTGATATGAGAGCCACAGCTAAAGAGGAGTAACACGAGGGTCACAGTTACACAGAACTGATACAAGGGCCACAGTTACAGAGGAGTAACACGAGGGTCATGGTTACAGAGGAGAAACACGAGGGCCACAGTTACAGAGGAGAAACACAAGGGTCACAGTTACAGAGGAGAAACACGAGGGCCACAGTTTTAGAGGAGAAACACGAGGGCCACATTTACAGCGGAGAAACACGAAGGCCACAGTTATAGAGGAGAAACACGAGGGCCACATTTACAGCGGAGAAACACGAGGGCCACAGTTACAGAGGAGAAACACGAGGGCCACAGTTTTAGAGGAGAAACACGAGGGCCACATTTACAGCGGAGAAACACGAGGGCCACAGTTACAGAGGAGAAACACGAGGGCCACAGTTTTAGAGGAGAAACACGAGGGCCACATTTACAGCGGAGAAACACGAGGGCCACAGTTACAGAGGAGAAACAAGATGGCCACAGTTATAGAGGAGAAACACGAAGGCCACAGTTATAGAGGAGAAACACGAAGGCCACAGCTACAGAGGAGAAACACGAAGGCCACAGTTATAGAGGAGAAACACGAGGGCCACAGTTATAGAGGAGAAACACGAAGGCCACAGTTATAGAGGAGAAACACGAAGGCCACAGTTATAGAGGAGAAACACGAAGGCCACAGTTATAGAGGAGAAACACGAAGGCCACAGTTATAGAGGAGAAACACGAAGGCCACAGTTATAGAGGAGAAACACGAAGGCCACAGTTATAGAGGAGAAACACGAAGGCCACAGTTATAGAGGAGAAACACGAAGGCCACAGTTATAGAGGAGAAACACGAAGGCCACAGTTATAGAGGAGAAACACGAAGGCCACAGTTATAGAGGAGAAACACGAAGGCCACAGTTATAGAGGAGAAACACGAAGGCCACAGTTATAGAGGAGAAACACGAAGGCCACAGTTATAGAGGAGAAACACGAAGGCCACAGTTATAGAGGAGAAACACGAAGGCCACAGTTATAGAGGAGAAACACGAAGGCCACAGTTATAGAGGAGAAACACGAAGGCCACAGTTATAGAGGAGAAACACGAAGGCCACAGTTATAGAGGAGAAACACGAAGGCCACAGTTATAGAGGAGAAACACGAAGGCCACAGTTATAGAGGAGAAACACGAAGGCCACAGTTATAGAGGAGAAACACGAAGGCCACAGTTATAGAGGAGAAACACGAAGGCCACAGTTATAGAGGAGAAACACGAAGGCCACAGTTATAGAGGAGAAACACGAAGGCCACAGTTATAGAGGAGAAACACGAAGGCCACAGTTATAGAGGAGAAACACGAAGGCCACAGTTATAGAGGAGAAACACGAAGGCCACAGTTATAGAGGAGAAACACGAAGGCCACAGTTATAGAGGAGAAACACGAAGGCCACAGTTATAGAGGAGAAACACGAAGGCCACAGTTATAGAGGAGAAACACGAAGGCCACAGTTATAGAGGAGAAACACGAAGGCCACAGTTATAGAGGAGAAACACGAAGGCCACAGTTATAGAGGAGAAACACGAAGGCCACAGTTATAGAGGAGAAACACGAAGGCCACAGTTATAGAGGAGAAACACGAAGGCCACAGTTATAGAGGAGAAACACGAAGGCCACAGTTATAGAGGAGAAACACGAAGGCCACAGTTATAGAGGAGAAACACGAAGGCCACAGTTATAGAGGAGAAACACGAAGGCCACAGTTATAGAGGAGAAACACGAAGGCCACAGTTATAGAGGAGAAACACGAAGGCCACAGTTATAGAGGAGAAACACGAAGGCCACAGTTATAGAGGAGAAACACGAAGGCCACAGTTATAGAGGAGAAACACGAAGGCCACAGTTATAGAGGAGAAACACGAAGGCCACAGTTATAGAGGAGAAACACGAAGGCCACAGTTATAGAGGAGAAACACGAAGGCCACAGTTATAGAGGAGAAACACGAAGGCCACAGTTATAGAGGAGAAACACGAAGGCCACAGTTATAGAGGAGAAACACGAAGGCCACAGTTATAGAGGAGAAACACGAAGGCCACAGTTATAGAGGAGAAACACGAAGGCCACAGTTATAGAGGAGAAACACGAAGGCCACAGTTATAGAGGAGAAACACGAAGGCCACAGTTATAGAGGAGAAACACGAGGGCCACAGTTATAGAGGAGAAACACGAGGGCCACAGTTATAGAGGAGAAACACTAGGGCCACAGTTATAGAGGAGAAACACGAGGGCCACAGTTATAGAGGAGAAACACGAGGGCCACAGTTATAGAGGAGAAACACGAGGGCCACAGTTATAGAGGAGAAACACGAGGGCCACAGTTATAGAGGAGAAACTCGAGGGCCACAGTTACAAAGGACTAACACGAGGGCCACAGTTACAGAGGACTGACATGAGGACCACAGCTTCACAGGACTGACAGGAGGACCACAGTTACACAGGACTGACACGAGAGGTCAATTGGTGTTTCATGTAAAAATTAGTTGTTTCAGAAAGTGGCAAATACATTTCAAATAGGTGCTTCCTTACTGCTTATTTCTAGTGATTATTAAACGGCACAAGATAGTCAAATCTGCTGAGTATTAAACGACACATGATGGTCGAATCTGCTGATTATTAAACATCAATAGATGGTCGAATCTGCTGATTATTAAACGGCACAAGATGGTCGAAACTGCAGATTATTAAACATCAATAGATGGTCGAATCTTCTGACTATTAAACGGCACAAGATTGTCAAATCTGCTGATTATTAAACGACACAAGATGGTCGAAACTGCTCATTATTAAACGACACAAGGTGATCGAATTTGCGCATCTGCTGATTATCAAACGACGCAAGAACGTTGAATCTGCTGATTATCAAACGACACAAGAACGTCGAATCTCCTGATTATCAAACGACGCAAGATGGTCGAATCTGCTGATTATTAAACGACGCAAGGACGTCGAATCTGCTGATTATCAAACGACACAAGAACGTCGAATCTGCTGATTATCAAACGACGCAAGATGGTCAAATCTGCTGATTATCAAACGACACAAGAACGTCGAATCTGATGATTATCAAACGACACAAAAAGGTCGAATCTGCTGATTATTAAACGGCACAAGGTGGCGAATCTACTGATTATTAAACGACGCAAGGTGGCGAATCTGCTGATTATTAAACGACACAAGATGGTCGAATCTGCTGATTATTAAACGACGCAAGGTGGCGAATCTGCTGATTATTAAACGACGCAAGATGGTCGAATCTGCTGATTATCAAACATCAATAGATGGTCGAATCTGCTGATTATTAAACGGCACAAGATGGTCGAAACTGCAGATTATTAATCATCAATATATGGTCGAATCTTCTTACTATTAAACGGCACAAGATTGTCGAAACTGCTCATTATTAAACGACACAAGGTGATCGAATTTGCGCATCTGCTGATTATTAAACGACGCAAGATGGTCGAATCTGCTGATTATTAAACGACGCAAGAACGTTGAATCTGCTGATTATCAAACGACACAAGAACGTCGAATCTGCTGATTATTAAACGACGCAAGGTGGCGAATCCGCTGATTATTAAACGACACAAGATGGTCGAATCAGCTGATTATTAAACGACGCAAGGTGGCGAATCCGCTGATTATTAAACGACACAAGATGGTAGAATCTGCTGATTATTAAACGACGCAAAGTGGCGAATCTGCTGATTATTAAACGAAACAAGATGGTCGAATCTGCTGATTATTAAACGACGGAAGGTGGCGAATCTGCTGATTATTAAACGACACAAGATGGACGAAACTGCTCATTATTAAACGACACAAGGTCATCGAATTTGCGCATCTGCTGATTATTAAACGACGCAAGAACGTTGAATCTGCTGATTCTCAAACGACACAAGAACGTCGAATCTGCTGATTAATAAACGACGCAAGATGGTCGAATCTGCTGATTATTCAACGACGCAAGATGGTCGAATCTGCTGATTATTTAACGACACAAGAACGTCGAATCTGATGATTATCAAACGACTCAAAAAGGTCGAATCTGCTGATTATTAAACGGCACAAGGTGGCGAATCTGCTGATTATTAAACGACACAAGATGGTCGCATCTGCTGATTATTAAACGACGCAAGAACGTTGAATCGGCTGATTATCAAACGACACAAGAACGTCGAATCTGATGATTATCAAACGACTCAAAAAGGTCGAATCTGCTGATTATTAAACGGCACAAGGTGGCGAATCTGCTGATTATTAAACGACACAAGATGGACGAAACTGCTCATTATTAAACGACACAAGGTCATCGAATTTGCGCATCTGCTGATTATTAAACGACGCAAGAACGTTGAATCGGCTGATTATCAAACGACACAAGAACGTCGAATCTGATGATTATCAAACGACTCAAAAAGGTCGAATCTGCTGATTATTAAACGGCACAAGGTGGCGAATCTGCTGATGATTAAACGACGCAAGGTGGCGAATCCGCTGATTATTAAACGACACAAGATGGTCGAATCTGCTGATTATTAAACGACGCAAGGTGGCGAATCTGCTGATTATTAAACGACGCAAGATGGTCGAATCTGCTGATTATCAAACGACACAAGAACGTCGAATCTGATGATTATTAAACGACACAAGAACGTCGAATCTGAAGATTATTAAACGACGCAAGATGGTCGAATCTGCTGATTCTGCTGATTTATTATCGATGTTGAATGTAGCTTGAATTTCTTAGCTTTCTGTCATTAGATCAATATAAACAGCAACAATTTAAACGACGCAAATTATTACCAATGCTAAAGAAACTTATTCTGATATTCGTTATAAGAAAGGACTTCAAGAAACCTTTCAATATCATATTGTATATTCTAATTGTACGGTACCTTTTCTGTTAGTATCCTGTTGTTTAACTGTGTTGTTTAACTGGATATTATTGTTGGTTGAATTAATGTTATTGTTTCAATGAATACTGTTGTTCAAATGGATATTATTATTGTTTAAATAGATATTGTTGATTAAATGGAAACTATTATTATTTATTATGGAAAGTAGTGTTGGTTAAACGGAAACCATTTTTTTTAAATCACGATTATGGCGAAAAGGACCCTTCAGTGAGTTGCATCTAACCGATTACAGGTCGACGTCTGTCAAGTTTCCTGTTATTTTGGTCAATTAGATAAGAACAAACGATATGAGGTTAGCCCATCAGTCGTCCCTTTTCTGCATTGTACTCGTACACACTTAACCCATTTACCCCTTAGTCACATCTGAACCTTACCTTATCAAAGACTGGGAAAGTCCAGTTTAAATATTTAGGGGTGAATGAGTTAATACAAGCCTCGTTTTTCCCCGGTATGATCAATGGTATTGACATTCGTACCGCTTGTTACTGGTAAGTTGGCCTTGTTACTGGTAAGTTGGTCTTGTTACTGGTAAGTTGGCCTTGTTACTGGTAAGTTGGCCTTGTTACTGGTCAGTTGGCCTTGTTACTGGTAAGTTGGTCTTGTTACTGGTAAGTTGGCCTTTTTACTGGTAAATTGGCCTTGTTACTGGTAAGTTGGCCTTGTTACTGG